TGAAGGATATGATTCTCTTTGCGCAGTGATATCGCTGTCTCTTATACACATCTAGATGTGTATAAGAGACAGGCTATACACAACTCGAAGAGTGTGTGTGTGTGGGGTGCCGGTTGGTGCTTTATTCACGATGTTCATGGGACGCTGGACCTAGTTTCCAGCAGGTATATGTGTGTGTATGTGAGCGTGTGTATGTGTATATGTGTGTGTGTGTGTGTGTGCGCGTGTGTGTGTGTGTGTGTGTGTGTGAGAGAGAGAGAGAGAGAGAGTGTGTGTGAGAGAGAGAGAGAGATAGCGTGTGTGCATGTGCGCGCGCGCTGTCGGGGCAAATACCCTGACAAGGGTATTTGCCGGGGGTTTTCAACATTGGACGCTGTCCGAATTTCTCGTTGGATTGAAGGGCTTGATGAGATTCACATTGCCAAAACGTTTATTCAGACATGACCGTTGACTGAGGGACTAAAAGATTTCAGAACCCTAGTCTGGATGCCTGTGGCGTCCGAGAGTAAGGGCTATACCCGGCAGTGCTTCGCCTTTCGTCAGGGCTGTACGGGCGTGCGGGTGTTGAGGTACTAAGGTTAGACCTATTCTACCTAAAATAGTGTTGCGCGGCTGTTAAGCCGCATGATTCAGGGTCTACGATGGGCTAAAAAGAACGGTCGCGCCTTGGCGCGAAAAGAGTACGAAGTTTTTCTAGGTTGCGGGGGTTGACCTCGAGCCAAAGGAGGCCAGCAGGCCAATGTCGAGGCCTACCCATTGGGTGACCTCGGTTTTGTGGTGGACAACCATCCATGGCAAGGCCACACGCGGGCATGGCCTGCAAGGCCACGGGCATGCAGGGCCTACAGGGCCACAGGAGGGCAGGGCCTTCAAGGCTGCGGCCAGGCAGGGCCTGCAAAGCCACGACAGGGGGGAATAGAGAGGGGGTGAAGCTCTTCTTATAGAAGAGTTGCTCTTATTATACTCATGATAGGAGCTAGCCCAGTAGGTTCTCATACGTGACTCGTACCTCGTGGATATTGGGATCAAACCCGAAATGCTGCATCCTACTGGGCATATCTCCTTTTGGAGTTGCCCATTCCGGACGTTGTCAGCGCGATCGATCCGGACCGTTCGATCGCAAGGATCGCGCGGTTCGGATC